GAAGAGAAAACCAAGGAAGGAGCAACACTGGGGGTGTACAGGGAGCAAGTATAAGAAGAAAGGGGCAGAGGCAAATAATGCAGGACTTCAAGGGAGGGGAGATGAGGAGCTTTTACCTTGTGCAGCAAAAGACAGAAGTCAATTGCAGGGGTTGGAAAAGAGGAAGATGAGGTCGTTGAAGCAGCGAGTGAGGGAGGTTGTCTTGGACCTGATCTACCATGTGCTGAAGTGCAAGCATGCCTGTTCAGTGACTTCAGTGTGGTTAGATCAAGTCCATTTCCAGCTGTGTTCAGAATAAATGAAAGATGAAGAAAACACTAAACTGAAGGACAATCTGGGGAGCCAAGCTGGAGGAGATACAGAGTTCTTGTCAGGAGCACACAAAAGCCTGTAAAAGTAGTAGTAGCAGGGATGTTTTGCTTTCGATAATCAGGCTGCCCATTTTCAGCGTGACTATGTTCGCTATTTCCTGACACAACACTGATGGGCTTTCCAGCAGCATTAATGGCACTACAGCCTTCAGCCAGTCATGTTTTACAAGCTAAGCAGGTATACCAAACCCTGCAACCCCAGGAACTGGCACAGGGAGCTGGCAAGGGAAGATCCCGCTTTTATATAGGGGATGCTGGGGATTAGTCACAAGCCAGTGGGCTAAGGAGAGGGGGACAGACACAAGTAAATAAACATTACCATTAAGGCACATACACTTAGGATCTGGGTAACAGGAAGTAAATAGTGACACTGTGAGGAAATTGGTAGAAACCAGTAGTTATTGGTAGAAAACAGTAACACTGTGATGTATACACGTGAGAACTTTAAACCTTCCCATAACTTCAGAGGACTCCAAACCAGTCTCTGGTCCCATAAAATACTTAATTGCCATCTGCTTGGGTTCCACATCTGAGTGCCTCTGCTATAGCTCACAGTCCTAGCCCCTCCACTCCTTCCAACCCTCTGGCCACGGGTCTGCTGTGGTTACCCGTGCTCCGATGATGCTCCTTCCATTTCTTCCTGCCCTCCTGCCATTTTCTGGGAGTTGTAGTGCACATTGGAGTTCGTTCCTCCAGTCCCCTGAAGGCTTCTTGGCATTGTAGTTCATGTTACAACATTACAGTACATGTTGTTCAGCATCACAGTACATTACACAGGATCATGCTTGTCAGTTCTTGGATAGACAGTGTGCCCTAAACATGCTCCATGGAGTGGCAGTAGTGATCCCTTGGCCCTGAGCTGGTACTGATACCCCTTCATAGTGTGAGGGTTGCTGTTTCTGAAGGAGCTGCCTGCTTGATGGGAGGAACATGTGTTCTCTTTGACGAGACAGTTGTCAGTAGCGATCTTGGGGTACTATGAAATTAGGGGTGCCACCCCTGTAACTGGGCCATAGTTTGACTGAGACCATCCCATTGTGGATCCACAGTTTCTACCTGCAGTTTCATTGGATGGAGCATTCAGCTTCTGCCCTGTGTTGCTGCATGGGGTTGCCTTGTTGATAGCCAGCCACCGTGTTCCATCCCAGGTGCCTTTCAGCGGGACATGAAACAACCTGTCTACATCCCTTGATATTAACTGTCAGGTCCTCAGTGGGTGCCAGTAGATGTAATCCAAAGCCAACAGCCTGCGCTGCTCCAGAGGCCTGATCCCACACTGTTGGGAGTTTTACTGGTGACCCAAATAGAAACAGGAGCAAGCTGTAGCCAAGTGTCTGAACTAGTGCTTTGAGCTCCTTGCATGTAAAGGTGCCAAGCAGGGATGGTGATGCTGTGCTTTCTACTTTTCCCTGCCCCAGGAAGAAGACTCCTTGCAGATTGAGGAGAAGATCAAGTGGGGTGACGGTTTTGCTGTGGTGTACTCGGTGACTGACAGGTGCAGCTTTGATGAGGTTATGAGGCTCTGCTTCCTCATCAACCACATCCATGCAAGCCCTAAGCGGAGCAGTGGGAGTGACCAGCCGCCTGTGGTAATTGTTGGCAACAAAAAGGATTTGCAGTTTGACAGGATGGTATCCTCTGAGGATGGCGAGAATCTCTCCAAAGCCCTGAAATATCCGTTCTATGAGATCTCCACCAGAGACAGCTACGAAGAGACTGTGATGGTGTTCAACACGTTGTACCATGAGCTGATGAGACAGGGGCACTTCTCCCCTGGCTCCTTCAAGAGGAAGACAGTGTCCAAGCTGATGGAGAAGATTCCCAGGATGCACGCTAACTCCACCCTCAACTCGGGTGGCAGAAGCCTGAGCTTCAACTCCTTCAGGGACTACATACCAGAGTGAGCTGCCTTTGTGCAGGCAAGGGGGTGGAAGCAAATGAGCCTGAACGAGCAATGGACAGGCTGCAGTGCTGCTGGCCTTGCCAGCCTTGAGAGCCCGTGTGTAGTAGCTAGGGTGGGTCACTATAGCTGCCTGTATTCCAGGAAGTTCACGGTGCTAGTCTAAGCTGGCTTCATAGAGGGGAATGGGCAAAAAGGTGGGTGGCTTGATGAGGTTGGTGCATTAGCTTTGTACATTGAAAGCCTTAGAGGGGAGGCTTATGTCCTGGGTTAGAGGGAGCAGTGCAAATGTGTTTGAGAGGGTGTCCTCTTCCTCCTCATTATCCACATTTTGCTTATGTCACAAACTGTCACTATACATTATGCTGTTGGCAGGCTTTGCTCCAGGTGGAACTGGGATTGGGACTGAAGGTTAAGATTGTGTGTTAGAGCCAGGTGGGATCCCAGGCCTTGGTTACCAGGCGGTATTGCAGAGCAGGATGGAGGGGCCCTAGTTGGAAGTTTTCCCGACACACCTCCTCATTCTGCTTGGCCACTGATCCCTACGAGCATTTATTGACGTGCTCTGGGAGGGGTGCAGGGGTGCTTTAATTAATGCAGGTCCAAGAGCCACACTATTTAAAAGTGCCCAGAACATCACATGTATCAGCATCCCCGCACTGAAAAATGGTAGCAGGGCACTTTGAACTAAAGCTTGACGAACAAGCTTTAGTGAAAAGCACCTGGCCACCATTTTTCAGTGCAGAGACGCCGATGCACGTGAGACGGGAGTGTAATTACCACGCTCCTGCACACTCTGTTAATCAACTCTAACACGCTGGAATTACAGCATGTTGGAGGAGCCTCCCTGCACATGTAAAGGAACCCCATTTCTCCCGAACAAAACCGTTCACAACCTGCACCCTGTTGTGGATGTCTTTTACCAGGGCAGACCCATAGGCTGTCAGACTGCATCTGCTGTCTTCAGTAACAGTCAACACTAGGTGGCTTTTCTAGAAAGTGCTGAGTGCCCCTGGCAAGGGGAAAACTCCTTTAAATACGTCACTGCGTGACCTTCGACCCCCCCCACCA